CGAAACGATAGTCAGAATTGTTTCCTCATCTCTTTCTAGGTCCTTATCAGTTTTTATCACATGATGCTACTCACATTGCTCTCCACCTCATAACATGCAAGCATCTTACAATCAACGAAGAAGTAACTGCATTGGTGACACATCTAACGCCTCTTATCAGCTCATATCGCTTGGTATCACTTCCTGTCACCCACCACCATTTCGCTGTATGATCACACATAATGTATAGGATGTAACTGCAAAATTTTCTTTATCAACTGGAACGACGAATTTCGTAACACTTACGGCCTCATGCTCCCTATCAGCTCTTACTAATTGCTATCAGCTCCAATCACATTACCTGCGTCCTCGGGATCCTTTCTGGTGGACCCAACACCTCACATTATAGGTAGTAGCGATTATCAGCGTTGTTTCTGTTCTTTATGGTGGAGGCTTGTCAGCGGTTGCTTTCCCTTTTCGGCTTTCTCTCTCTCTCGAAGAGCCCTTTCATAGTCGGTCGTCTGTTCGTGACGATCACATAGCTTTAAAAATGCATCCATCGTCGGACGTGGCCATTGGGTGACCCTAAGCGTGGCCATAGCACCTTATAGAACGGCAGAGTTGCAGAGAGGATGCATCATGTAGCAGCTCAAGGGTTGTTATCAATTCACCACAGTCACGAATCCCTTATTGCGCATTATTCATGGAATTCCTATTGTTAACTGCTACTTTCTCAGCTCCTGCATTGCATCCTGTGATATGAGAAGGACATTCAACAGATCCTGAAAGACTTGCAGGTTCACAATTCATGTAGCACAGCATGTTTGAAGTCTATATAACAAAGGGAGGAGGACTCATACATAGTGAACTGCGGTAGAGAGGGAAATCAAACTGTCAACAAGTGAGCATGACATGCGAAGTTTGCCATTTTTGGTGCGTATCACGCCAGAAAATCGAACCGGAACATGCTTTGAGTCTATTTGCTTTGTTGTGCTCATTGTTCACACACATTGTCTTACGTCGATTGGTGACCAAATCAAGCAAGTAGTAGTTTAGGTCGACTCCTTCGTTGTAACTGCTCCGCTGATGGATATTACAAAACATGAAGAGACGGTGTTGCCGACCTTCGAAGAACTTGTACATGCGGTAGATGCATCATCGCAAACGTTTCTTTCAACAGGTTAGTATTTTTTCATAGTAATTCATCCGGAATGTTGTAAGGACTGGTTGAGAGGATAACGATAATTTCGGCCTAAGGGTTCTCAAGAGAAGTGAGAATATTTAGGATTAAATTTGTTTAACACAGAGAAGCTCCAAAAGTTTTATTCCAAAAGAATTCCAAAAGTTCACAAAAGTCCAAATACTCCAAAAAACGAGCCAAAAATTTAAAAGAATTCCTTTGGAAACTTCCGCGATATTTGTGGTTCCGGGACAGCACAATACTAAGAGATTCTCTAGAATGGCTGAATATATCACGTGAAAGCAGTGGTGGAGATGAAGTTGTGCTCAGACGCTATTATGTGAATAGAAGCCTTTTGAGATCTGCAGAGCGGGCTTCAGTATTTTTGTTTTACAGCAGACTTCACCATTTGCCATTGTGAACCTGAGCATAATCGCGATGCTTCCTTACTGTTTGCCGCGCGACTTCAAGTGGACCGAATTTCTTCGAAGAAAGTAGATAGGAATCGGTAAGTAGTCCGGGATGTGGTTCACTAGGACAGAGAGAACTAGGGACCCTTTTCCCTGCAGGGAAAGTTGTTTCGCGCAACAAATCGCGAAAAAGACGCTTTGTGTCTAGTGAACCACATCCAGTAGTCTGCCTGCTCTTTGAAAAAATTCCTCAATTTCCGGCTCAGGCTTGGAACGGCGGCGAGACGATTATTGCAGTTGGTACGGTTGTTTACTACCCGAATATCTTCGTAAGTTCCTTTCTCTTCCCCCAAATCATTGCTATTTTCATTTTGTTTCTATTATGATTACAATTGGTATTTTCGTCTATTGTTTGTGTTCATCACCCAATGAAAAAAAAACACACGCTGATTTCCACCATTGCTTCTTTTGAACCGAAGCTTGCTAAATTATGGTATCAATTTTAGTCGTTCTGTTGGATAGTTCAGAGTTTCTTCTAGAGGAAATTCGATATATCGATGTGTTCATTCTTTATACAATCTCTACCAAAATATGCATTGTAGAGCATTCCAAATATCGAACACATCAGCGTTCGCTACATCGTTGTGTGATATGCTGTACACTTTCTGCGACTGTGCCGCGAACACTGTTCTTTCTAGTGAAGTGAGTTTTCAATGCTTTTATCAATGTCCAACGCATTTATTCTACTTCGTTTTACATTGGAAACAACATGCAAAAGAATTATTCACTGATGTCCAATTGGTTTTGGAAGTGCTCTTCAAATATCGTTTTTTATCGCCGGATAGTGTTCAATCCTAATGCGCTCAGACCATGACAGCAGGGTCTTGAGTGTCTTGACAAGACCATGGCTTGTCGAATTAGCTGCTTTTGTTTTATATGTCTATTCTCAAGCACTGCATGAAGGCTGTGTGACTGCTTGGTCCGCCTTCTCGTGATGATTGGCTTTCCCACTTTCTTCACGATTTGTGGTGGCCGCGGCGAGGGCTGACCGAGTTGGTAGTACCCGCGAACTGTACGGGTAGGTTTGAAAACACTCCATCACCACAGTTCGCAAGCACTATCAACTCGGCCGCGCTCACCGCGGCCGTCCCTCCTCCCTCCCCCCAAATCGTGAAGAAAGTGGGGGAGCAGAGATGATTTAGAACTCTCGGTAGTGCTCTGCATCGTGCGGGGCTGGCGAATTTAAGAGATGCGTGCAACACAACCTGTTTTTCTTTCTCAAAATTAGCATAATTAGTTATTTTTCAGAAAACAATCATCTCTGAACTGCGACGTGCTGTTGATGATTTTAATGAAATAGTTGTGGAGAAGCTGTCAAAGGTCAGGCAGTAATTTTACAACCTTGGAAACTTCTTTTGTAGGCTTCTATATTAAGGCAGCTTTTGAAGCGCAGTGTGCACGACGCAACGCGGCGAAACCTACCCGTCAGCAATTTTTCAGTCCGCAGCCTACACGCTTGAGAAGGCCGTTGGTTCAAATCCAGCAGCGAAGTCCTGGATACTTACTGCCTCCTGATTTATTAAAAGTACTAACTTCGTTAGCATACGCTTTGTTCCCCCTTTGAAGCGTTTTCATCGAGAGTAACTTCATGAAGCGTTTCAAAAGCTCACTCCGTCTCGTAGCGTTCCCTCAGTACGGCCAACAATTTCAACTTCTGTTCCTTCTCCGGCCAAACGTGGCACAACGTTATCAGCTACTCAACAGACTGCCAGTAAAGGTAAGCATTGTTACTTGAGGCTACGTGGCTTGACTAGGATGAGGAGCACTCGTGGACTAGTTAAAGGACGAATTCACGATCAGAGGGAAAATCGAATTAGGAAGAATTCACCTGGTTGAGGGACCGCGGAGCTCCTAAGTGTGCGAACTGAAGCACAATTTGCACAGGAGGAGTTGACCTCGTTGACCTATTAAGGTTTAATCCCGCCGCGGCTGGTCAGTGCACGCCCACCGATCATCTGATCACTCGCCGCAGGTCTATACGTGGTGAGTGATTAGATAGGTGAGAGAGCGTAGTGTTGAAGAGGGCACAGCGATGATAGTCGCATCAATGCTCAAATCAACGGGCAAGGAAGGGGTCCCATTTCTCGGGTTCTGGGCCGTTTCTCATGGTTTTCCTTCTTTAGTGTACCACTCACCATCGCTAACTTAATTTGAAATGGGTTGCCTTTCCAGCGTGAATTCGTCCTTTAAGTGAACGGTCTTTTAAGCGATATGCAGCAGCATTTTGTTTCATGAATTTTATGAGCAGCAGAGAAGCAGAAAATGTGATATGGGAGCATAAAATGTGATATCTACACTAGCGAATTATTCGATGTTCGGCTATTACGAAAACAAAAGGGGCTATTTTTTGAAAGTGGGAAATGGTGTAGAGGCTCGTGACGCGGCCTACCTCACACATTGACGGGGATCGAATCTAGGATCCGAGTCGACTGTTATGTTCATACTTTTCCGAAAATTTTACCTCGCCCTTTTGCTGGGGGTCTCCATGCGGCCTACCACCACTACCATTTTCCGTGGGAGACTCCTCCAATACAATACCCCTCCTACCTACCACGATCATCATCACGATGTTTCCATAGTATTTGATTCCGAGACCATGCGGCAATCGACACGCCCAACACCGCCCACGTTTTCCTCTAAACAGCCGTCTCTTTTTCCTAGTCAACAATATATCGACTTCGGCTTATGTTACTTGATCTTCC